AAAAAAAAAAAAAATATTTAATGGTTGGGTCAAAACAAGTTCACCCAGCTGGATCAATACCCAAGTCAACCAGGTCAAGGCCGAGTTCACCGGATTCGACTGGGTCCCTTGCTCTCCACCCGGTCAAAACAACCCATCGGGACCAGCCCCGGCTACGGTTTGGCCCACTGAGCCAGTCCAGGTTTCACAACAATGGCATCCATATCAATTAAACTTGCAAGAAAATGAAGTGATTCCTAAAAACAAAGATGGGCAAGAAATCATAACCAAGATCCCTTATCTCATTCCAGCAACACAACTCCTATGTCCCATCTCCCTGAAACATGGCCAATACACTTCAACACAATACTTAACAAGGAATTAAAAAACAATCAGACCAACTCAAATCGAAGGTCTCGTCCTCTCCTCGGAGAATCTGGGGAGCTGAACCAACGAATTGACCCTTGTAACCCCTTCCAAACCCGACCAGCTCTGTTCCTCATCCCCTCCTCCATGCTTCTCCTCAGACGATGACCGGACTGTGTAGTTCCTGGCGAGGCAAGGCTCCGAGTGCTGGCCATCGTCCGCAGATGAGAAGCCTCCGGTAACAGACTGCTCCTCCAACTCCGACTCAGCAGTATCTGTTTTCCCATCGAGAAAGAAGCAGACGACTGCACAGTCATCCATTTTCGAGGTCGGGTATTTGGACCTCCACTCGCGGGCTGCTGACTCCACCACCACCCTGGCAGCAGATGAACGAGTCGGAGCCGACCACACGATCTCCACCACCTCCTCGTTGCTCAACACGTCCCATACCTGCAATCAAGTGCTAACGTGTTATTAATCTTCTTTGTTTTTTCTTGTCAATCACACAAATTGTGTCTATAATATATCTGAATATTTTTGGAAATAATCAGATATATCTAGAAATAGAAAATAGGAACGTAACTTTGCAGGTCTTTAACTGATATTTCTAGCTTTGCAGGTCTTTGAGTGATATATTTAATGTCTCAGGCCGTATATACATAGCATTTATCTCAGGTCCCCAAAATCATAATTAATCACCCTGGGGCACTAAATTGGTACAAGCTATCTACACCACTGTTCATATCTGCTAACAGGAAGGTTAACACATGCAATTTAAACAGCAGAATGCAATATAAAAGTGTGCTGCGTAGTGAACCACAATTATCGTGAGTTGGTACGTAATTTCTGCAGAATGCCTCAGACACTAAAGCAGATTGATCAAAAAAGTAACATGCAAAAGTAGGCAACGTATAAAACATATATGTTTGTGGCACAGCACCATAACTGATACATCATTTAAGAATGTATGGAAAGGAAAAAGGTATTAAGTTATAGTGTGGGTCATTCTATAGTGGATCAGGTGGTTATGCATACCTCCAGTTTATACTGTTAACTCATGGGAATTGCAATTCAGCCACAATTTCTGTGAAACAACTGTTTACAAGATTATATGTGGGTGTGTTCTAACTGAAACCTTGTGCTCTCCTAGTTTCACTGGCTTAAGAATCTCCCTTTGATGTGGTGAATGCATTTTGCTAGAGCATTTTGATGTTCAATTAGGCTAGAGGAAGTATCAGTTTCGCTTCATTCAAAAAACCATGCTTGATTAGGAACACCTTCTACAGTAAGTTTGCGCTACAAAGCAATCACATGTAACTTAAATGTACTTATCAACAAGAACAAACTTTATAGCTACACATATTGCAATTATAGAAGTAACCAATGTTAAATTGTTAGTCACTGTTGACCAGACCAGAGATGATGTGTTCACTTATACATACTTTAAGCTTTCTTCCAAATTACTCATGGTTATATCCTCTGTACCTAAGCAGTGGCAACCATAACTTGGAAACTCAAGACAGGCAGCCCTAATTATTTAATAGATGGACTTTTAAACGGAAGAAGCAGAAGCAGAAGAAAATCACTAGTAAAATCTATTTCACAGATTATTATGCATTATGAAAATGCTTTCGTATTCGTCTGCAAGGACTACTGTGTACATCATCAAACTACAAAACATTGATCTGCTTCTTCCATTTTTCCTCAGAACAACCTTAGCATTGAGTTTCTTACAAATGGAATTTATAATATGATTCTCATTTTCATCTGAAAGGGAGAAGTATTTGAAAATCACAACAGCCAGCAGTTGCCTACATTTTTTCCTAGTCCATACTACATAAGAACATAGCTACAATTATATCAAATAGGGAACATTAAGAGCAAATGGTGTTTATAGAAGGACATGTGATAGTATTTGTTGTGAAGAAAAAGACATTACAAGTCTTCTGATGCTTCTGTGGTCCAGTGATAGGAAGTTCTTAATTCTTACGAAATTTTAAAGATGTCAGAGGGAACACATGGCTTTCAGAGGCATATGACTAATTAATCCAAAGCCTATACACTGGTTAGATATGTAAAGATGAAAACTCAAAATTCGTATAAACATCATTCTGCATTCAGAGACAGATCCCATAACATTCCTAGAATTACTTAAATAGTAAAATCAAAGAATATAGGTCAGGTGAACGTAAAGACATACCCCATCTGATGCGAGAACAATGAATTTATCTTGGTCAGTTAGTGTACGGTGAGAAAATTCAGGAATGGAGATGACTCCATATTCCTTCAAACAGAAATCACCAAAAGCACGCGCCATTGCTAAACCAGGGGCATCATCAAATGGCAGCCAAACCCTCGGCACTTCAGGCTCGTCTTGTAAAGCAAATACTCGACCCTTGCACCGCTTTATCCTTTCTGCCTCCCCTGTTCAGATATTAGGATATATAAGTACCACTAGTTTGCTTGTTTAATCTTTAGTAATTTTAAAAAATAAAAGGAAAAGGCAGAATAATATACTAACTAGGTAGATCAGGCTTCAGATCAACTGTCAATTGGATAGCCACCATTGAATCATTGCCATCTTTAGATCCCAATATTGCTCGAGAATCACCAATGTTACCCATGAAAAGATTCGAGCCCTTCAATCATTGGAAAGAAATAAAAACAAATAAAGTAACACATAAAAAATCTCATATTAAACATCAGGCTAACACGGAAAAGACTTACTATAAGTACCTGTTTTACAACAGTCACAGCCGTGCTACCACTGCAAAAGCAATCCAAATTTGGATGCGACTTCAATTCTTTGTCCATCGCCTTATAAGCTTTAAGAAAAGCCTCTCTCCACATGGACTCAACTTTCTCCTCCTCAGAGGTATCTTTTGTGGGGTCCACCACGTCCAATTTCACATCCCCATTACAGCAGTTCGCACCAGATCCTTTTCTCCTCGACTCGGACGAGTTCAGAAAAGAGGACAGTTTTAGCGGCAGTGTATCCCTCACTTTACGAGCCACGAGATGTCCGTGCGGGCCGTGGCCATCAAAAACGCCACAAAAGCTAACGTCATCTTCCATAAAATCCTGCACAAAAAGAACACAAAAATTCAAATATAATTTTTCGGTCGAGATTCGAGCATAGAAATTGCTTGAAAATGATTTTGGATATAATTCAAGACTTACTTCCCACACAATCATTGCATCTTGATTTATGCCTTTACGGCCCTGCTGAGTAAATATGCATGAACTGCTTGTTCTTCCATTGGTGAATATCCGATTAGAAGCCGAAGCAAGACGTTGCAGATTGGTAACGTTGTCGGAAAACGTTCTCCTACTCCTTTTGCAACCAAACATATCTATCCACAAGCATGGGGGAGTTATATTATCCCCGTTACTCTTGCTACTACAAGTACTTCGACTGCTGATTGATACACAACCTCCCATCTTCTCAGAGCCAAAAGTAGAACATCTAACTTAAAAAATAATAAAAAAAAAAAACTAGCTTCTTCCTGCCGTTGCTAAAAAGTAAGAGAACGCTTAAATTGTACTGTGCATATAACTGAGCAAAAGACAGGGTAAGTCACAAGATTCAAAATCGGCAGTCCATGGCGCAAAACTTTTCCCTCTTAGTCAAACATCAAATTCGCTGATGAAGATGGGAAGCCATAACTGAGCCAGCTAAAAAGAGTAGAGAAGAGATTAATTAACTGCCTTTGTTTATTCAGCATCTAATATATATTATTCTCCCAGCTTCATGAAATAAAACTACAAAATCACACAAACTCAGTTTTAAGAGATTTTAGCATGTGAAGGGGGGAATATTAAAATTACAACAAGGGGGGTCTTAACTGCTTGTCATTATTTGGGAATCTCTATATTTAATCAAAGTTGAGAGATTTCATTCAAAGCCAACAAAGACAGAGGAAGGTTATTACCACAAAATCACAAGCATAAAACAAGAAAAACCTTTAACCATTTCAAATCTAAAAATTAAATTAATACCCGCATT